AACTGGTGTGCATTACGATTTACAAATTTTACTCTTAGTAGTGAGTTCAACTGAAGCTCTTCGACTCTCTTTAACTGCAAATACTAACTAACTGAGATTGGACTTCGTTGTAATTCAATACTTTGCGCACCCCCAACAATTCACTGAGCAATACTGGTTACTGCCTTCGCAATGTACGGCCCCCAAATCAAATTGATCAATACTTCGAAGCTAAACAAACAATTGCTTTCGGTTCCCAGGTTGAGGATTGCAGTGAAGATCGCTACTTATTCCGTTAAACGGAATCCCGCTCTTCTGCCAACAGCTTTCTAAACCAAACGCTTTGGTTAAACTCTATAATCGTTTGCTTGCCTAGGCCAGGACAACGTGATAGTATACTGCCCATGTAAAACTATTTTGAACATTCTAAGGTATTTGTTGGTGCTTTGGCTTTCGCAGAGAATAATCAACGACACCCTACCTGACGTATTGAGCTGGGGGGGGGGGTGGAAGAGTTAGGTCGCTACTAAGCAGAGCTTCTCGTTTTGTTTCTGTCCCCTCGCGGTATTTCATCTTCCCCCCTTCGATTTTAGCCCTCGTCATTTCAGTCCCCCAATCATGACTTGCCGCCATCCGGTTTTAATAGACATTTTTCGCATGGTTACAAGTTACGTGCAATCACACAGCATCATCTCTAGTTAGGCAACAAATTCATGTTAAACTAAGCTGACAACCTCCATTCACTCATTTCTACTTAAAGTCCTTAGTTGTCCTTAAGGCTGGTAGACACCAACGTACTTATTTTGATGCAGACCGGTTAACCAGAAGCATTTGCCTGAATATTACAGATCCCACTAATCAATATCTGCATCTTAACGGAAACCTGCCTGCAAGACTCGGGCTCTGTGTGCCCTTTACGACGGCCTTCAAGTGACACTGAGGGCACTTTCTGACCGCTTCCATCCGAAGATAATGTATCCAGGAATGCTGATCAAGCCGTTGTGAGCATGACTTTGAGTGCCCAAGCTCAGGCTAGGCTAGTAAATTGGATCTCATTCAGTGACCGGATGTGTGTAATTCGATTAGTTGGCTCTTTCAAAACTTCGGAGTGGCGCTGGGCTAATAGGTGTTTATTCTTTATCACTGCCTGCGGGCCCACAAACCGTAGCGTTGAATCGGTAAAGATGACTTACGTCGCAAACTGAAAGAGCTCCTCCTCCACAGAAGAACCACAGACACTGTAGTGCTGACTGGGGATCTGAAAGCGCAAGTTGGGAACCTGTCCACAGATGAACTGCATTCGAGTGGCCAATACGGTGTCGACTTCCGTGTTGATAGAGATGAGCGGTTGTCACACCTGTGTGCAGATACTCTACGATTTTACGCGAGCACTAACTTTCGTCACAGCAGCCAAAGCAAAGTAATGTAGAGCCCGCCAGCGTTGGACCAGTCATGGACGTAAATTGCTTATATTGCGATCACTTGCCACTGGTGAGCCTGCGCCCACACCTGTAACTCGATTTGAGCATGCGCATAGACTCCGATCATGTGCTAATAAGCACCGGTCCCAGGGTGCATTCGATGGACGCCCGCGAGGAAGTTGGACAGCAGAATACGGACGAAGCCAGGTGTTCTGAATTCGTAGCAAAATGCGCTGGCTTTCATCTTGCCCAAAGGCTCAGTGATCGCAGTTGAGGATCACTGGTCGCATGTAAAACAAGCCCATTGGGCAGTAGGTATGTCTTCCTGAGGCGAGCCGGATTGTCAGCCGCGATTTTATAGTTGTCTACGAAGTCACTAGAATTTTTGTATGCTAACCGACTCATTCCAGCTAGAAATGAACATGATAAGGCGTAAACATCTCAGGGAAAAGTTAAGTGCTAGTATCAATTGAGGCCACGAAGCCTGGGGGTCTTACTGTATTTCAGAGATGGAAATGACCGGAGCTTATTCCGTCTCATGTAGGGAATGGGCAGCAGAAGGTCTAGTGTTAGCGAAACTCTGTGTGACGGTAGCAGCCAGCTTACCCACAACCTGTCAGAAGGCCTGAAGTGTTGGGTGAACAGATTGAAAGATCATTCATTAAACCAGAATCACCAGCTTATTTACCAGCCATTAGTCGTTCTGCTAGCTTTGACCATCACTTTAGATCTGCCCTCAAGCACTGACGGTTAACATAAAATCTGACTGTCACAGTTGAATAATTCCCCATGACCAGATGGGCATCCTCCATTATGTTCAAGTTCGGGGATTTGCTCTTAGAAATGAATTACTTGAGCTAATTTTGAGTGTGGGAAAGAAAGCTGTTCCAATTGATTGGAGTTTTAATGTTATCTTCCAGTTTTCAAAGTGGTTAACTTTCGGAATTTCTCAATCGTGACTAAATCGATGGGATCTCCATCGCCACCAATTTGCTTGCCTCTCACTTGCAGCATAGGCTTACTGGCACCCGTGAATGTCAGCTTCGTGAGGAAGGAGCCAGATTTCGTTGAAATCGCGGCTGTATTGATCGCATATACACTTTGCATCAAGCATTAGAACAATGTCACAGTTGTTGGTGATCCCATTTGGTCGTGTTCTTCGGCAAAATATCTACCCTTTGGAACTTTCTGTCTGTGCAATATCTGTCCGACGCCGACGTAAACATAATCAGAGAGTCCCACGTGCGCAGATCGGACGGGGTGATGGTTCAACACGGACTGTCACTGCCCTTTAATATCTCCAGTAGTGTGATACAGGGATTCCCTCTTCTCCCTACTTAACTTTTCCATCGATGAAGTTATAGAAAATGCGAGCATCGGATACAACTTGGAAGGTAGGGAGTCGTTTTCAAATCATCAACTTCTTGACTTGAATTATGTCGACGATACTGCGCTCATGTGTGACTTCTCACAGCTTTACCAAGAAGCACTGGAAAGATTAAGGCTGGCTGTTAGCCGCTTTGGGCTATGTTTGCACCTGCCGAACGCAAGAATTTCCTTCAACCTTGGTAGGGACTACGGTGAACATTTACACTTGGTGTGGGTCAGTTGGAAGTCGCTCAAAAATCCAACTGCCTAGGCGACTGTATCACCGCCTGTGGAACGGAAGACGAAATGACAAACCGCAAAACTTAAGCTTGAGGCGCTTTTGCTCGACCTCGACACTTACGGTGCCAGGGCGTCAGGGTTGGGAAACCTAAAGCCTCAAGTGGGTAGGCATGAAGATGTTAGTTCCATCCAACCATCGTTGCCTTCGCAGTTTGACTAGTACCTAGTTAGAATACTACGTGAGCACTGCACGCGTTCGCTCTCAGGTGGATGGCAAAGGAAAAGGTAGTGGACCAACCAGTACCGCTGTCTCATGCACTAGGTCCCGATTGCTGGGTCTAGTGACAGTACACCGACTTCCGTCAGGCGCGCCGTTTGCGCGTCTGACATCTGGCTGGAAGAAGGAGGTGGAAGGGTAACCGAATAATTCATCATGAAGAATGAAGGCTCCCATTTCGGTAACGATGCACCAAGCTGTCAGCTGAATGCTAGATAAGGAAATAGGTAGAAATTCATCATGTCAAGACTCACGCAGACAGCCATTACACAGTCGGAAATGCACTATACGCGCATTACATCATTTCTGGAATCGTCAGCAGTGCGCATTCCATCTGACGATTCGGTTAAGGATGTGTCCAGTATTTTATAGTGCCAGTTTTCATCGAATTGCTGAGATCCCAAATTTTTGTTTTACTGTACTTGTTCACGGGATTCTCATACAAAGACTGTTTCAGCTTTCTACCTTAATTTCCAAATGTCAGCTATCGTAACCCAGTGTATAGGTTTAGCAGATTATATGCAAACACATGCACAAAAATCTCTCACACTGACAACCTTTCTTACCACTTTTGCAACGGAGCACCTATGTGTTTGCACACAGCTTGCACTCTGCTAGTTATAGGCATTCTGATCTATATCACGGTTGGCTATCCAATCAAACAATACAAACTTGTCTACGGCAAGGCATCTCGAAGTATATGCTTATGTAATGGGATTCATTCTGTTTCCTACTGATATCTCTATATGTGTTTTGCGCTACGGACTGGTGGAACTCCCTCTTCTTACTCTACCGTACTGACTCACAGATTGCGGTCCGGTAGACGAGGAACACGTTTGATTGGATGTACTTGCTGCCATGATACCAAGCCGACCACAATGGGATTTGTGCTGTGTGATTTTTCCATTTCCCCTTCCCACTTAACGTTCATCTACCATCTCATTATCGATGCAAAAAATGAAAAAAGAGTGCGTTTCTTTTGTCACTAAGTTACGGCCAAGAATAATACTGTATTGCGGAGCAATAGTTGAGCTGTTTCACACTATGGTTGACATGTAGTTGGTGCTGATGGTGAAGACCTGTGAACCAACCCCACATACCAACCTCACCTTCGTAGAGCTGTACCTGAAGCAATTGTGGCTGTCAGAGACAGCCGAGTAAATCGCATTATAACTTCAGTTGTGATGGTCTCCGAGCTGGGCCACTTGATTGCGAACGTTTCGCAACCATTCGAGGTAGCATTTGCAGTGAAGGAATGATAGCAGTCAGGTAGCAGGAGCTGGTAGAAGTCAAGCATTATAACCTATTTACCTACCAATGGATTGGAAACGTGCGTGTGCACTGACCGACTACCGAATCTATCGACGTCAATCTGGAGTAATCTGTACCGAAAAACATTAGTTTATCAAAGTTAGACCAAACTGGTGACGCTCGGTAACCATACGTAAAGTACGACGACTTTTTTCTGAAGTGTCAGGCTGTTGTTATAAGCTATCTCAATTTTGGTAACAAATGATTCGCCCCTAACGAAAAAGTTGGTCACAGACTATAATTTCTCTACAGTAGCATTCCAAGAAGAGGAAGTGGACGGGATACTTAGCTTGCACAGTGATTATACAGAAAGTCGAACCTAGGCAAATTTACGCACAATGTACGCATTAAAAGATCAACATTATGTGGTTGTTATAGAGCGAGTTATATGGTACAGGAATTACCTTGAAAAATCCTGCGCATCTGTCATGAAGACATTAAGGAAGACCGTTGGAACACATCCGTTCATGAAAGGGTAACATGGAATGGGAAAGGAGATAGGAAGATATACACATCGTTTGCAGACAGTAGTGATGGACAATGACTACGAAACAGGCTGTATCTTTGTAAGAAAAAGTACGCACCTGGTCCCTTTTTTCCCCAGTGGAAAGATGACATCAATTATGTGACTACATTACGAAGAGTATTTTCCCGGTAATTCGAAAAGTCATGGCAAGCCGAGCAACCTCCCCGTGGTGCCAGCTGGGTGGTTGGGGTAAATCCCGTTCCAGCAAATGGCTCGTTGCAGTGTTCCAGAATTTCGCCTGGCAAGCGTTCTCCCTTTAAAAAACCCACAGTTATCCGTTTAACAACACTGTGTCGTGGCGGAAGTGATTCGCCACTAAATAAAGTCATTGCTTCTTACCTTTTCCGGAGGATCATTCACACATCACGAACGTCACCCGATTCGAAGCGTTCCATTGATTCTTCCCTTTGATGGCGAACCCAACGAACAAAACATTTACCTACTCACACAACATGGCTACTTCCAAGTACAGACTTACATACAGTTCTAGATGTCAACACACACACACACATACATTCCTATGCTATTTGTTAAAATGTACTAATTTGTACAATTGCCGATCATACATGTCCGTATTATCATGATCACGCTCTTGATGGCGTGCTTAGCATTGACGAAAATAAACCGTTTGTTTATTTATTTATTTAACCAACACGCCGGTTTTTTGAGATGGGCGTTCGGACAAAGGGACACTTCCATTTTCCGACAGATGCTCGGTTCGCATGTTCGTCCCCATCTCGTGTACGCATTTCATGTCAGGCAGCCATGGATGAAGCATGACTTCTGTGTACTGGATTAGCCTCAACGTGGGGATTGCAAGTACGTCATTTAACTGTGCAATCCCCCATACGAACTGAGACTGAAACCTTTGAGAATATGCAGCGGACGGTGTCCCCGATTACCATGTGACCTGATAATAACCTACTTGATCCTGTACGATCCAAATCATGTGTGTCGCTCTTAGCTACATCTGAGCAATAACACAAAATTGTGACGTCACTCCTCGAAACTAGCAGAACGGTGCAACCGCTACACTAAACTAGCCATAGTTAAAAGTCTGTTACAAAACACACTTAGCCCTAGCTCTCTGTGCTATTTATGGAAAATACCTTTGATTTGCATTAAAACGAGAAGCCCATTCTTTTTACAGCAAATGCACTTTCTGTATTTCTCAACATTTTTCTATGACCTCACCGGACCACCCGACGGAGTTTGCCAAGTAATGTTTCCTAAACCGTATGAAGTCATATTTTATTGGTCACTTATTTCAAAATTTTGCATCAAAATTTAGCACAGTTATTCCACCGACTACCCCGCCTAATACTCATCTATGTGACTTCAATGCGGTCGAATGAGGCAAACGGAGGAACATGTGAGAACCTTAAGGTACAGACTAATAACGTACCCGTCACAAGCATAGATACCGTAGTGCTTTCCAGATGAATGATCTTTGCAGACACGACAGGGAATGTCGAGCAGAATGCGAGCTAGGAAGCGGGGAGGAGAGAGAACGAGAGAGATAAAAGGCGAGGGTGAATGCGCGTGATAGACAATGTGATGGCAGTACCAAGAAAACAGACAAGTCTCAAAGAATGACCTTCCATTCACACCAATCCAAGCGCCAGCGGATTACGGTGAGGCGGAGCTGCTTACAGGGTGACGGCTACCAGGTGACTACCGACACATACAGCGTACTTGTCAATCACTCAACAGCAGTCAAAATGCACACGGCAAGGACAATGAGGTGAATGGCACCATTTCAATCAGAAGCAAATTCGTCTGCGCACACCTGACTACTCAACACGGCACTAGATTGTTTCGAATGGGTCACGCGTGGCATCGCTGCAAATCAATGGCTGATTTTGCCACAAATGTAGTCAGTGCCCTAGAAGATTTGAGTTGTGAAGCAATCGAAAGTCATGAGTTATTAGTTGCGGAATGACGGTTGAATATTTACCTCTAACATTCCATCCATGATTTCTACAGGTAATGTACAGAGAGAACATTATGACGGAGTAAGCAAAAACATTAGCAGAATCATAGTTTAGACTAAAACCAAAGAAGCGTTAATAAATCCAGTCAGCTTCTCGTGTATGTTTCACTCTCAGAACTAACCCACCTGGTGCTCTCATTAATAAATGATTTGGCGCAGTCATTTGAGTTTCGACGAGTAATTTGTTTGAATGCGTTGGATCGAAGATGGAACAAGTGTATGGTGCACTAGTTCGTACCCATGGTATTTGTATGGCGTTACTTGAGGAGTGCCACTTGGATACTTGAATTGAAGTTGTCCCACGCCAGTAAGAGAGCTTAAGTGGCTTACTAGTGCGATTCGATCGATACAGTTGGTTTTCTCACCAAGTGGGTTAAACTAACGTCCACTATGCTTTTGTGCTTATGCAACGAGAAATTACCGCATTTGTGTAACGTTGGACGATTGAACCCTTTCGCTATCACTCTGTGGTTGAGCAGAAACACAGGAAAACGACTTGTTTCACTCTGCACTACATATCTAGATTCGACCCTTATAGTTTTGGTGATAGCTACCGCGCCGTCATCTAGGTGTACCAATAACGGTACGGCGTGACCACCGGAGCAATCAATGAATATGACTACTACGAGAGCTTTGAGAACATGCGCTCAGTTTGCGAGCATCAAGTCGGTGTAAGGATTGATTCTATTGGCAACAAAACACTGCCACAGCGAACAAAGAAAACAAAGCAGGCGAGGGTGTTGTACGAACGAGCTCTCCTTTTTGAAACACTTTCCTTAAACTGTTGTCTGCGAAAACCGTGTGCACTCCGCCGCGTAGCAACCACTTTCGCCACCCGGGGTGGTATAAGATTTTCGCCCCTCTTGTTTGTTACAAATTCGGACACAGTGCGATCTTCTGGCCAGTCTTGAGAAGCCACGTATAGACATCCGCAAAATCGGTTGAGGTGCGTGTTAGCATGCTAAATAGTTGTTGCGTTACTAGTTCTACAACTTCGCACGCATACGCATCAGAATCACAGACCTCGCCCGCTTCTTCAGTGCTGTCAACTTTCGGTTTCTGTTGCCCAAGCATATACATTTGAGGTACTGATTTCACCCATAGTCTCAATATGATTATCGCCTTTTACCATTTCGGTCACGTAAGTGTTTATCAAAGTGATGGAATAGGCAACCACAGACGAACTGACGAGATACTTTGAAAGTCAACAAATAATTGCTAATGCGCAACATGGTTTCAGACGCAGACAAGCTTGCCTCACCAATTTGCTGCTTACTCGGTACTCATGGACCAGGACGGCTGATGAAGGAATCCCGGTACATGTGACCTACTTTGATTTTGCTAATGCATTCGACAAGGTCAAGCACTTCTTTCTCCTTCAAAAACTTGCTGCCTACGGTGTCAACGGTTCCCTGCTCACCTGGTTAGAAGACTACTTACACGACAGAGCAATCAAGGTAAGAATAGCCGGTACTCACTCTGCATGCGTGCGTGTGTCTCCAGCGGTGTACCACAAGGATCCGTCCTCGGCCGACACTGTTGTTAGTCTACCTTAATGGCCTTCCAGCAGACATACCATCTCCAATGCAAATATTTGCAAACGCTGCTAAAATATGGAGAGCAATTCGATCAGCATCCGATCGCGTCTACCTCCAGAATGATCTGGATCCGATTAATGAATAGGCAGAAAAGAACCAGCTCCCACTGAACCCTGCAAAGTGCCACCTGCTGACGGTGTGTAGCAGCTTCGTCAACACATACCTTTTGGGGCAACACGTCCTGAAACACGTGACTAATGAACGAGACTTAGTTATAATCGTGCAAGTCTTGTAAATTCGCTCCAGTTTTCGAAAGTAGCAAGTGTGGCGAAGAACTTGTGACTTTGAGGCGAGCTCTCGGCACTTTTGAGAGACGGCTACTGCCAACGCTGACTAACTCTTGTATTCTTCCTCGCGCTGAATATGCGATTCAGGCCTGGTGTCCATGGTTAAAACTAGACATTCGCCTATTGGATCAACCCAAAGAAGAGCTACAAAGGCAACGAGTGAACTATCCGGTCTGAATTCCGAACTGCGGCTTCGTGTACTCCGTGCATTCTCCTCAGAATACCGACGGCTTCGCGGAGATCTTACTCTCACATGCCGGATACTAATTGAAAACCAGCATCCAAGTACATCACTGTTGACCCTAGCCCCTTACAAACAAAACCGAGGCAACCACCTGAAACTAATGATGCTACACTCCCGTCTGAATTATAGAAGTATTTTTATTCACTTAGAATCTTCTCCCACTGGAATACATTACCAAGATATGTGGTGAACGCATCAGACAAGACGACATTTGAAAGACTTTCATTTTAGTGATAAGGTGGAATCGTTTAACCACTGGTACTTCACGTTGCAGGTTGGAATATTTTGATTTTAATTTTCTTTTGCATATCCATCCTGTGGGCCTTGTAAAGTTATGCTTTTTATCCCATCATATACTATTGAACAAATGAACTATTGATGAATTTGCAGTTGGTATCGGACCATAATCCTTACTAAATTTGCCGCCCCCTGTCACATGATGCCCGGGGCGGACTGGTCCCATTGAAACCCCACCCTATGCCTCTGTGTACACTGCAATTACCAGTAGAGACTGAGAACCCCATAGTGGCTTAGAAGCAGGTAGTGTTTCGTGAACGTCACCATAGTGCTTTCCATTTCCCCGCGTAAGTATGTACGTCAGGAATCCCTCAGTACAAGTCACGGAGCCGTCTGTAATATCATCGTACAAAAACGGGACCTCATGCAGGTCTTCATCACAACGCGTGAGCCAACATGAACCCAGTGGGAAGACGGATAACCTGGTTAAGGAAAAAACTAGTTAAGGAAAAAGTGGTGTGCCAAAAATGGGTAACCGCAACAGTATTCCAAGTTGTGTTCGGCCTCGGTAGATGCATCGCTTCCAAAGTGCCTAAGTCAATGTTATTTATGAAAAATGTTTGTGATTTTTTGATTCGGCAGAACCAAAATAAGTTTGTATACTTCATTTACTATTTGATATTGTGTAGGTTCCAAGGCATAACTAAATCGAGTGTCATGAATTATCTCTGAGTACGGTAGGAAAATGCTGAAGTAGATTCAACCACCTTACCGTACACGTCCAAATTATACGATAGCATTTAGGTCCCTGGGGAAATGATTATTTCCTATGATATATTTCCCAGCACATATGTAAACATGAGGGGGAAAATATTTAAAAGGGAGAGTCAGTTGGCCTCAGTCGACCGAATTAAGCGAGTTCGTCTAGGTGCCGTCTGTTAAGAGTTCGTGAACTCCACACAATTTTGTCTACGTCTGGATTGAATTCCATGTAAAACGATACGCACAGTGAGCGCAAGGAGGTGATATCGACCAATATAGACAATTTGTCGTTCTTGCGCTCCATCTCTGACCCAGTTCATCGATGTGGAGTCAAGATTGAGGCCCTGTGCATGCGTGCAGGAAGGCGGCCGTTCCACACAGGAGAAAAGTTGGTCAAAACACTTTCACTAAGGTAAAAATATGGCAACTTGATTCGTTCGCATTCTGTTCTCCCAGTCCCTATATCCACTTCACTTTACGGTCTGTGAAATTGGTTGTTTTGAGAGTCCGGCTTTAATCGGCTGAGCTACAGGCACTTCTGTCGCATTTCGATCGGCTAATTGCCGACAGGGAGAATCTTGGTGTTGTGTCATGTTGACGTCCTATTCCATGCAGTTTCATTCAGTTCCTCAGCTCTCAAGCCTATTCTTTACCTATTCACTTATCGCGCTCTGCTGCTATCAGAAAAAATGTCGATTTTCGGGAAAATTACCTTTTGCTCAGAAACGGGGGCCGGACAACATTCCTGGGGACAATTTTACCACTGCAATTGTACACTACACGGATGTCAAAATGTACCTAAATTTCACGGATACAACGTAACTACTGAGTTCCCCGAGTAACTTCTACGTGTTTGGATTTTATGCCGAACACTTTACTTGAAACAACACGCAATTCGTGTAAGCAAACTACTACTAGTCAACTACTGGGCCACTCGTGGTCCAACTCAACTACCCTCGGGATCTAAGAACTGTGCATCGGTTGTCACAGTAACGGGAGGAACCTTTTCGTGACAACACGGATTCATTCTGAGAAGCGTAAGATAATGTTGCGGTTTCATAGAAATGGTCTGTTGAAGAAGACGATGTTGTCTGTTTCGTATTTATTTGCACTCGAACCGCTTAGTGCTCGGCAGTACGGAGATCACCAAAGTTCGAACAGTCTAGCCCATCGCAAGTGATGCACGTTTACTTGAAGTCTTATATGGAATACCCGAGCCAAGCCTGGAATCCTTAGCGAAAAGCGATGTTGCTGTACTTGGACCTTCACAAAGTAGAGGGACCAAGATCTGTAGGGATTGTTCAACCTACCATACAAATGTAGACTAAAATCCCTTGGCACTCACAGCGCCGTTAGCGAGGAGACCTCATCATGGTGCAGGTACCACTGACGAATTTCAACCACACCTACGGCGATCTGTTCTAATTCAGCTATAATACTAACCAGAAAATCACCAGCTCAAACTAGTCACGTACTACAGTCGACTCGATTGCCGATAAAATATATTCCGCCTTCAGTTCTCCCCAACATGAAACGCTCTTCCAGCCCATGTCATTATTGCCCATAAATTAACACATTTTAAAATACGTCTTAACAACATGCTATCCCATTTGCATGACGTGATATTATCCGTTTCATTTGGAAGACATCGCGTACAGAGCAACTTGCTCTTCAGGCTTCCCCGTAACGTAGCAATAAGGGACCTACATCAGTGTGCATGTCAATTTTTCTAGTCATATTTCATGTTTGATTTTATACTCCCGACTCCATTCATCCTATGAAACTTGTTAAGTGCCCGCTTTCCTACTTGTTATATAGTAATGTTCATTGATTGTCACAGTCACGTGGTTCAACTGCTGATAAGTAGCAATCCCGTCGCCTTGGCCACTTGCCACTACTGGGTCTCCTGTTATTGGGCCAATATACATCTGAGGCAGACTTCACAGACTTCCACTGTTAGCAAAAGTCGGTGGAATACAGGTCAGTCAGGATTCACCTTTAGTTGTGGTGAGACCCAAGCTCTAACAGTTGTACTTGTTGTAAATTTTCTTTTCGGAATGTACACCCAATTTCGTCTGTTTCATCAGCTCAAAAGCAAGTAAAGTCAAGGATTCGATTTTTATGTCCACAAATTGTGCATTGTGAGCTTTAGACTACGGATCAACGTAAGGAAGGAAGACAAAAACAGAATAGTTAAACTTCTGAAGTGATTACGAAGGAATATCCTCCAGTTTATCATTGTACCCTAATTCCAGTTAAGATCAAAGCAGAACGCGATAACAAGTTCATGCCTGTTATTCGGTGGACAGAATGCGCTCAATATATTCTGGATAAGTACATCCGTCGGGTATTCAAAGCACACGAATATCAATCAAGGTACAAATCTGATGCAACTAATAGCAGATAGAAGAGACTAAATAAGAACAACAAGATCCAGATTATTATGAAGTCTTGTATCAGGGGGTCCTCTGTCATATTCTGTTATTGCTACTTAACAAAACCCGTTACCAATCGCATTATTAGGTTGAAACACGGCGACCATGTTGTCCATGGCAACATTGCTTCCAGTACTGAACAGACTTCGACGCTTTGACAGTCCCACGATAATCTCTGCCCGATTTGTAGAAGCTAGGAGGTAACCGCTCGTGGAGGTGGATGTTGGAAACACGCCATACTGAAACCTTCACAGTGACGCAGCAACTACTTTTGCCGCCCGAGGCGGTGGTAAAATTTTCGCCCCGACTGAATACTGAAATTACGTAGCGAGAAGATAAAAATCTGTGTTGTTCCATCTTAAGTGGATAGGGCACTTGCGCCGAATCACGTCGCTTATCCTGAGCGGTGACAGCATATCGCAGTTGCACTACATCTTTTCTCAGTGCAGTGCGCTCCGGTAAAGGAATCTCTTGAATTCCGACACCGATTTCGCATCGACTATTGTCTCCGGCAGAATAGGCGGGTGACGGCCACATAATCGAGTCGGGGTAAAGTGAACCCTCGTTTTCGAGGAAATGGATACTCGTTTGGGACGCTGAGTTAAATGCGGTGAAAGTGACCACAATGGAAGAAGTTACGAAATTGCTGGGAAGAAAGTCTGCACAGCCAGGACACATGATGCTAATGTGATGTTGGTCATCCAGAGTAACACTAAAAGCTTCAACTCTCAGCTTATTCGCATAAGTTTCGCTTTATATCTAATATCGAACAATCGACGGTACTAAAAATGCTGACCCTTGTCAAATGCCACTCGAGGCGGACCGCCTCATCCGTCTGCTTATGTTAATCTTCTGAACTCACTACAAGCTGCAAAAAGTTTTAAATCTCTGTACACCGGTGCCTGTGGTGGGACAAGTCAAAGCGTACCGAGGTCCCAAATGCGAATGCGAGCACTCCAATAGCCAGTATGTGGTAGTCTCAAACACTGTGCCAACCGTTGCGCACGTATCTCAATGGGCTACTACTCAAGACGTCAGTCACCAGCTATTGCCAGCCGTTCCATTCTGTGTATCTCAAACTGAGATGTACAAAGAAGGAAAAACCAGCTTGTGAAGTGGATTGTTGGGCCTGAACACCGTCAACCTGCTACCTAATTCATCCAGTGTGAAATCTGTCATTTTGTCTTACAATTTATCGAACCATAAACTAATGTGACTATACCTTTTGTCCCTCCGACTCAAAATATTTGCAATACCGTACGATTTAAACTTAAAGTTCGTAACTATTTCACTGGCCATCTTACGCTCCAGTTGTTTTTCCGGTTTTTCCATCCGCATTGGAGTATCTAGGCTCTACTAACAGATTCCGTAGCTAGAAAGCATATCGATGCATGCAACATCCTTCGGAGTGTTGATGGATCCTATATATCCATTGCTCGTTAATTTATCAATAGCTAGGTCCTTTTTCTATCTGGTTTCAAGTTGGAGTTTTATGTACATATATGTAGCTTTTGAAACTACACTAGCAACTCGAACTTAACGCACCCGCATTCGGTAATGCAGAATGCGGAAAATTTCCATCCCATCCGGATATATAACCCCATACTGACTGTTGCTGACAGCCAATTTGATGCATTGCTTCTAGCTAAATTCGTATTCTACTACTGGTACTCTTCTTGTTTCGGTCCTTTATAGCAAGCTATTTGGAGTCGAAAATTCAAACGTCGAATTAATGCCTTGCCAGTTCTACCAATGAGGTCGTTTATTGTCGGGGTCCTTAAATCGACGGTTTCTTTTTCACTGAAACGTCGCGCTTACTTTGTCTGCTGTGGAGTTATCAGTTTTCATTCGGTTCGGATAGACCAGTTACAAGGTTAGCAATGTTGTCTTTCGACGATTTTTGGAGATGTATCTTGGGATACTGCGCAAAGTTATCAGGTCTCTTGTTACCCAGGGGATTTTCGTCCCGATAAATAAACTGGGTTTCGACACTGTACTTTCAACCGGATACAGATTTGTGACAGCTTATTCGAGTGACATTCGTAACCCTATTATCCTTTTTCCAGTTGTACAAGTTTTCCCTTGTAAACATGTGGATATTAGAAGCCGCTGAAAACGTATGTTACTGGGCACCTTACGCTAATATTGACTTGACCTAAATTGGGTCAAATTCTGCTTGAACCCATCGAGATTGCTCGTTATCATCTGTGAGCACAATCTCAAACACAAGATAATCGCTGACAATTTTGTTTGACAGATGAGGTTACAACCCATGTAACAAAAATCTTACTTATTTTCATATTAAATGACAATATGACGTTTGGCACCGCGTGCGCATTTACCAGAAGTTCTGTCCGTTACTTTTAACTGCTCTAGACTTAGAGTTTTTATATCATAGAACAAATATATATATATATATAATGGTGGCCACATATTATGTAGTTTTATATATCTAATTATGAAATTTTGCTCACAACGCGAACCTAGTACTCCGGTATCCAGTAGTGCAGAATGTTGCAAATGTACCCATTCTGATTACGTCTAAACATACATTCTACGACTGCATTCGTTCTCTTTTCGCTACTTCAGAACAGAATACTTTGCGTCGGAACTCCAAACTGGAGATGTGGTTACTGGCGTGCGCTTATAACAGTAGATCACAGAGTTCCACCTGAAGTAGTTGTCAACACCACCATCATACCCAGAGGAATTACTGTTGCGTACTTGGACTTCGACATATAATCTGGAGACAGGTTTCGGTTTAAATAACTCTGTTATGTAACACGGTCAAATTCCGCTCCCCTTTCTATTTGATTACAGTGATCGAACTGCCGGTGCTAATCACACCGAGGTTACACGTCGCCTCTCGAAAACCACCAGCTCAGACGATTAAGATGGTCGCGGACATTTATAACAGGCGAATTTAAAACAAGCAACAAAATCGCCGTGGAATCCTGGTTACTTCTGTATTAAGTACATTATGGTGTCTAACAGTTCAATCCCTCTGAAAGACAGTTATGGATATTTGAAATACAATCACTCGGGGTGAACTCACTGGAAGACGGATAACCTGATATTCGTTTTCCGGTTGTTGAGAAGCGTTTTTCTCCGCTGTAATTCACATTCCGTCCGTCAGATTTCGCCGTTGATTGTCTTAAGTAGACAACCTCTCGTTGCGTATCGTTAGGCTTCTCCTCAACATTTCCTGGATCCAAGATGACGGAAAAGGTGCTGGACCCTGGGGTGGTGAATTGCGACCCCATTGGAATGTCACAAGATCGACTACAACGCGTTGTATTATCCGAATCACTACTGTGGTTCAAGCACTCGCCCAAACCATCCCAGAAGTTCTTCGGATTGCGCGGTGCGACATGAGGCGAACTCATCAAAGTGGTAAATTTCCGAGTTTCCACAATTGGATTAATATCAGAAATTAATGGTAAACATCGATCCTCGTCGGTACGAACTATCCTGAGGAGTTGCAGGATTCTGACAAAATCAAGAACTCCCTCGCTCTCGCTCTTTCTATCTATCTATCTCTCTCTCTCTAGGCCTGGATACACTAATTAGTCGGCGTCACCCAACAGACTGGGAAGTCAATGGCTACCATTGGATGCGTTTCAGTTATGCGCCGGTGCCTGATTGGCGTTCGGCGGTAGCCTGTCATTTATGAGCCAATCCGATAACTGCTATACCCCGCGGTGCGAGCGACGAAGGGGAAGAGATTATTCACACTCACTCCGAAGTGTTAGCTAAAGTGACAGAACACAGCCGTAGTCGTGTGGGGTGGATTCGCTGTGGCTTGATCCCAAATTGATCGGTGGCCGACAGTCAGCTGAGGACGTGGTGAGCTCGAATCAGCCACCCGAAAAACGGCGGCGCGCGAGGACGTAGTCAGCATGGCTCACGAATTTCGCATGTGAGGTAACCTGCGCTTATTGTCCTCAGAATGCATCGGGTGCTAGGGTTCAGTTTGAGTAGAAAAGTCGCATCTCGACACACCGAATGCTGTTAGTATGGATGAGTGGCTTGTACTATATATTAGATGTTTAGCAAACCATACTGGATGTTCTGCAAACCACTTCGGGCGTATTGTAAATCACATTGGATATTTGCAAACCGAATTGGACACATTGCATTCTAAGCAGAAAATCAGCAATTCTCTAGCAAGACATGAGGAGTAAGGTGTCTAAACGATGTTCGGACCAAATTGTAGTCATACTAATGCAACCGGATTGTGTGAGCAGCAGATGCTACTACAAACCTTTTTCTTTCATCGTGAACCTCGCTCACATCTATCAAAGGCGATGACTTAGTGTCCCCTGTCTCCTCATCAGCCTTCGCATAGTTTGTCTGTGCTTTCACGCATCAACTTGTGTAGCTGTGTGACTATTGGAAAGTCAGTCTGTCACTCTACCGGGTCTTCGCGTAATTTCTGTGGGTTTGTGAGCGAACCTGTGCACCTGATGAAATATCGGAACAGTGCACACTCTCATGAAAGCGCCACAACCAGCAGCGCTTTATTAGTCGTTACTGCATAAAATGACTAAATTGAGCGATGAACGATAATCGCCCACGGCTTACACAATTCTGTTGCATTCCCATGAGCACAATGTCGCCTAAACGTCATCTAACCGCCTGTTCTTCATTTTAAAAAAATTTGCGGCAGTAGGCAAATATATCTAGACTGATTTTCGTTGAGTCCTCTCATCATCTGCACTGATTCAATAGCCTAGCAGTTGCAAAGGTTCGACCACAAAACACGCGAATGTCCATAGATGAAAAGGAGAATCTGGGTCACCGTCTTTGATCGAGGTGAACGACGCCCATGATCAAGAGAGTAGGTAAAATCATCCTCTGCTTGCGCAGTCCTGTTGCATTCACGTGAGCACAATGTCGCCTGCTCTTGATAACAAATTGTAGAAGTAAGCCAGTAAAGGTAGAGCGGGTTTGGTTTGGTCATAACAGCCTTCACTGTTTCAGTAGTTAAGCAGTTGCATAGGTTTGCCCTCAAACTCATAGAAAATACTCGAAGACCCATAAAGTGACAGGGGCCTACTGGATCGCAGCCTAGCTACTTCATCAGTTATGGCCCCAGTGATCGAATTGGCCAAAGTTTACTGCAATGGGAATCGCGGCCTACATCGAGATAGCGCATCCTAATCTATTCATAAAACGAGTGCTTCCCAATGATCCTCCATAGATAGGTAACATTTGTTTAAGTAATAACACACGATTACACAGATTCATGCATGAACATACATACACATAAAGTACGCGGAAGCAGAGGCGGTGAGAAGAGTGATCGAGGTGGTCGAGGTTCACGATCAACCAAAAGGTTTGCAGTGGCATTTGCTGCATATACAATTCGGTTGGGTTAACATGACTACAATGTGATCTGAATATCGTCTAGTCTCCTTACACTTCATGTCTTACTAATGAATTACTGATTTTCTGCATAGAATGTAATCTGTCCAATTCCGTTTGCAAATATCTAATGGGAATTATAAAACGTCCAATGGGGTTTGCAGAACGTTCAATTTAAAGTGAAAATGGTATATAAGAAAAAAGTTTGTTTCATTTGTACATCAGAAATGTAAACCAAATCAAGGTGAAGTGGTGCTTAATGCTGAATTTCCAGGCTAGGAGAATTCTGCTGCATGTATATGAGAGGGGTAAATTAACTTACACTTTAACTAATTTTTTTTAAGCTGGCTAAACTTCATTCCACTTTATTTGGTTCGTTCTGCCTACCTGAATAATGTTCTATTAACTGGCCACGTTGCTCACGCTAATTTCGCTTATCTTCGGTAACTTTGTTGCGTTTGTAGCATTTTTAAGTCACTCATGGACATATTTTCCTGATCACGGATTCGTTGCTAACCAACTTACTTCATATGCTAATTTAGCGAAGAGTTATGCCACCGTATCTGTATGCATTATCCGATTTGTTTTATTTCATCTTGTCGTTTACAGTGAATGGCTGTTGCTTGATATCCCCGGTGTGACTGCGCTTGATGTGTACGTTGACAAGGTGTCTACCTATCTATTACCCACTACCTCGTCCATACTGGCTTCAGAAGAATGTTGATCGTTTCTGGAGGCGACGGGGTGCACGGTCCTTGTGGTTGTATTAGTATCAAAGAGTGGTTCCATGCACTCAGTGTGGAGCGGACTGCGGTCCAGCCACCGCCTTGTGTGCGATTGATTCCACAAATACAGCGTGCTTGTGTTTGCCTGTGAAGGAGTGTGGGCCGGCTCCGTTGATGAAACGTGGCTCACATCCACATGCCTCCCGGTCTTATTCCTTCGGGTTTACACTGGATATGGGTTGTGTGGATGGAGCTGTGGTTGGTTCGGTGCAAGCCACCTATGGTCCCTCTGTATGCGCGGGCTTCCTGTGGCTGGCCACAGTGACAGGCAAATCCGAAACCGGATGCCACCAACCATGTGAGAGCTGCAAGCACGAACCTTTGACCTCATGGTAACTATGCAATCCGGGTTTCAACTGTTTTGGGCAAATAATGTGTAAAATTATTGATGTTATGAGTTTACTGGGACACATTGTCTACTGGAAGCTCTTCTGTGTTATATTTTGACTTCGGCGACGTCGTTAAACCCACATTTTTGAGCTCTTCAGACTGACGGCACCCAACTGAGAGTTGAACCCTATCGATGCTGGTAATCGATACTGAATCGTCTCTCAACGACAGCAAAGTGGATTCTGTAAATGGAATTGTCGCTGATTGGACGACTCATATATTATTTCTGCTATGTAGTCTACGGCTTCAGTGACTTTGCTTCCCACTTCTTTGACAAACTGTAGATCACAATAAGCGAATATTAGTAGTAGTGTCATTGGAACTGTTACGTCTAACCTTACTGACTTAAGTCATCTCGACTCAATCGGATGCAGGCGTACACATGTGGGACGTCCATCGTGGAACAGCCTGTCACCCAAGCGCGAATTTAACACATGTGTGTCTGTCGTCTTGGCATTTCTGCGCTCACCACAAACATCCGTCTGCTGGCCTTAAGTTATTACGCGTATGGGTGTGTGTAATGGGTAATCATTACCCAAATGCTGTTTGGTAATTAAGCTGTGCTTGTTTCCTGATAGAGAATCTGCTCGGAAAGTCGGCTGAATAGATGACATGGGATTTCTTGAACTGATCTGTTTCCTGTGCTCATTCTCGAATTGCAGATCCCGTGAGAACTACAGGAAACTGTAGTCAATATATTTTGTGACAACTGTCTTTGTATGGAGCAAATTTATTTTACAATTCATTGAGGTCCTTTCAAGCATACACTGTGAATAGTTGACGACGCGCTATCTCAATCTGAGCAGCGATCAACTTCGAAGTCGGCTCGGAGCGATTCGCTCACTAAGATCGCATCTGAAGCAGATAGACGAGCATCGAAAACGGCCTCCTTTTGTCATCAGCCGTTGTGACTTGCGGAGTCCGTCGCCACTCCATGGTTTAACGGTAAAGGTTTCGGCTGACTTTCCAAAAGCCCCGTCTTCAAGTTAAATCTCTATGATATCTGCCTGATGAGTGCAAACTATTACAAACTTGGTCATGGGGGTTTGTCACATCCAGCTGGCAACACCAGTTGCTCCTTAGCTACGAATATTACTTCCATGACTAAGCAGAAGTAAAGTTTTCGTCTGCCACTAGGAACCGTGTGCCACAAGAACAAATTGTGTGGAATCGCAGAAAGAACATGTGACCTTGTAATGGGTGTTCACTTCTCACATTTTTATTGTACTTTCAACATGACCATGTGATTCGCACCACCATCACCCAGCAAGGAAACTTTCGGGTCAACGCAGGTACAATGAGTTGCGCCTTCGTTAGCACCTGTCGTAATCAGCGCATGTGAGTACGTGGACCTGTTTTTGCAGGTTGCATGTTCACCGCACAGTAATAGTCTCCACTCCAGATAACCTTAACAGCACACGATTGTTTTTCGATTAAAGAGAGCCGTTTGGTGATAGAGTTCACGCCAAACCAGGAACCACTTGAGTGGTAACAATGGAAGCTTTTCAAAGTTTCCGTTCCGGAGTAGCATATGACGATAAAGGTCCGCATATTGTACCTGCGTACTACTCCACAGTCTTCACGGGTACTTTCAATTGATGATCATTGAAAATAGCCTTCATTGCGCCGAGACTGTGTCCTTCTACAATCCAAACATTTCGCTTGTAAATGTTTCACCTGCATAATTGGTGTCATCAGCTGTGTAGCTTGGTGGATGAATTCCGAACCGACAGTACCTTGTGGTCTAAGTGGTGGATTTCGGAGTGACCGAGTGATGTAACTGATAACCTTAATATTCAAGGTTAGCTTCGTCACAGAGCTCCTCCAATCTGAAAGTATCTACCAATACCCATCCTACCATATAGTACTGTGTGCCAACTAGTTAAATAAGTAGACAAAGAAGTCTTTTGAAATACTCAACACGTAAATCATGATAGCAAGGCCCGTGTGGCTTTCCTGGGACTCAAGCATTTATGGAAATAATAATAATAATAATAATAATAATAA